GGTAGAGTATGTATCGGGTCTCGCTGGGGCTGGCAGCGAGACGGCTAACTGTGACCCTATCCTGTCCGTGGGGCGGCGCGCAGGCTGAGGTCGTGAAAGAAGGGGACGGAGGAGGAGGGGGAAGAAGGAGGTCAACCCCGCCGGCGGCTAGCTGTATCCTTTCTCCAGGGATGGTTATGACAGGGACCCCGGCTTCTGTCGCCCTAAATCCTCGAACCTTGAGTGCCGCGGCAAGGTTACTGTCTCTTTCCTTCAGAAGGTCGTAGCGATCATCGGGCATTGGCTTTCTGAGTCGCCTAAGGATGTCGAGACATCCCCTGCCAGCAGCCCTGAGGTGTCTGAGAAGTCTGGGCCTGGTCCTAAAATCCTTGCCGCATACGTTACAGACCGATCCCTCAACCAAGCAGCCCGCGGTATCGTCATGTGAACATCGCATATTTGTTTGAGGTCGTGCTGCCACATGCTCAGACGAAGTTGGTCGGTGTGCCACTGTTCGAAGGCCTGAGCAGTGTTCCGAACACTCTTTGTCCATGCCTTCGGATCCTGAGCGGCCTTGAGCAGGAGCTCTCTCTACGTGAGGGTCCTGTCAGCTTCAAAATTAGAAAACGTCTGCAACCACTCGAGGTCTTTGGTGATGGTGCTCCTCCACGATTAATTTGCCTTGGACTCCATATCAAGGACCTCTCGGAGCTGGGGGGGCAGAAGTCATGAGCCTAGCAAGGTACCGCAGGCGCATGAGTCTGAGTATGATGGGAACGAGGATCCTTTCAACCTCAAGCATAACCTGTTCATTGGAAACGTGGGGCTGGTCTTGCCTGCCTAGGCGAATCCCAAGAACGCTGCGAAACGGGGCCAGATGGACGGCTATCATCGCGCTTTCACCAGCTTTGCTCAAAGCGCCCCAGACGTGTCCGTTGTACAAAAGCTTGGAAGTACACAAGGAATCGACGTACTTAGCTTTCGTCCTCTTACTGAGGCGCTTGGCCTTGGGAACAGTCCTCCTGAGCGGTCCAACTCCTATCTCCTATCTGTTGTTGGGTCCGTCTGTAAAAAAGCTCAGGAGCCAGACACCCGTTCTGAGTGACCATCGTCCCTAGGTACTTGTAGGTCCTCTGAATGTATAGGATGTCGCCATATTGCGGTTCGTGAAGGGGGTCGGTCGTAGGAAAAAGTTGAGTCTTGATAGGCTTGGACCCTATTCCACGGGGGAGAACGAGGATGGCAGACTTACCCTTCTTAAAAGTTATTGCCATCCCGTACCGATTGGCAGTAGCGCGGATGACCAGCACAGTCTCGGAAATCATGTCGGGCAGGTCTTTTGCTTTGCGCACAACCGCCATCACTCCGAGATCGTCGACAAAAGTGCTGTCAGCCAAGCAGTCGACTTCGGAGTCACCTGGCAGCGCGAAGAGCGGCGCGTCTGTTTTCTCGAGCTTGAGAAGGTAGCCGTTTAGGTCCAGCTCGGACCTGATCGTTCTGACGATAGGGGCAAACAGAAGGTTGCAAGTCGGCTGGCGAACTTCCTGGCATGGCCCCCGAGGTCGTCCTGACAATTCATTGGGAACCCTTGGTTTTGAACCAGGTGCTCGTGTGAGTGTCGGCGAGCATACTAAGCAAGCGTTCGTTGTCGAGTCCATCGGGGACCGCTGGTTCCGCCATAGTGCGCCCCAGGATAGGAACCAGGGCCTCGGGAAGGTCAGCGGCATCAATGGCGTCAGCCAAATCCGCTGGGTCATTGATGTGTGGGATGACAATGGCGCGGATGACTTTATAGAAGGCCGACTTGAGATCTATGAAAGCAACGACAGAGGATAGACGTTTCTGTCGAGTCACGGCCACGAAAGTCTTGAGCACGCGGGCGGCCATGTCGGTCCCTCGGCCAGAGACACCTCCCATCTGAGTTTCGAGAAGCAAAGCAGCAACCAATTTCTGCACCTGATTTCTCATAAGCATATGGCGGTGTTTGGCCACATTGCTCACGAGCAAAATATGTCGGTAGCTGGTGCGGCACATTCTCCAGAATGGTTGTAGAGATCGTGGGCCCACCCCCCTTGAAAGCAAGAAGCTCTTGGGCGTGCATGGCAGTTCTCATGACAACGGGGCGGATGAGTCGAGCCGACTCGCCAGGCGCACATCTGAACAGTCTGGGCCTCCCGCTATGCGCCTGCTGGCCTTGGCGAAGGAAAATCCAAGCTCGTCTTTAGTCGTGAGGTTGGCGGCGGGGCACTCCAAACAGGCCTCCGCGCGTCGATTATATTCGCTGTACCTCTTGCAGAGCTTGTCGGGCGCCATAACCCTGCCGCCTTCGACGCGCGCAAAATACTTTTGGACGGAGTTGGCGACAGCCGTTCTTGATTGGAGAGGGGGGCCATCAGATCCATTCCCAATGGGGAGGGCTCCGTTGGTGAACATCATCTCACGTCCTCCGAAAGCTTGAAGGGCGTCGGCAATTTGACCCTCGCGATGGGGGTTGCAATTATCGATGGCGTCTGCCATCTCTTCAGTCATGTTTTCGAGCAAGACGGACATATCGAGGCCCAGTTCTTTCTCGCAGCAACCCAGCCGCGGCGCGAAGGGAAGCGACGAGGGCGGCATCCGCCTGCCCAGGCCGAGGGGCCCCAGGAAGGACCACGCGGAAAGTTTGAGCTCCCAAACCTGAACCTCGAAACCTTGCCATGAGTCGCAAGCCTCACCTTCACGTTGAAACCCTGGAGTGGGACAGGGGAAAAGCAAAGCGCCGGCCCGACTGAAGACGGCCTGCGCCTTCCCGCCAGGGGGGGGCCCTCAATATGTCCTTAGTTTCCTCCTCCGCCCGATCACGCGCATGGCGATAGCATCGGCGAAAGGCCCCCAGGGAGGGGGCTCGCGGGCAGGGAAAGGCGGCGGCATTCAGGATCTGCCCCTGGACAAGACTGCAGCGATGATTGACATCGGCTGACCAAGATGCCAGTTGGATGTCACGGAGCATCGACCTGAAAATAGCAACCCTATGGGCGTCTTGTGAGATGCTGACTACGCTTCGGGTGCGGTCTGCTTCTAGCACGTTGTTCAACAGTGGCCGATCCTGCTCCAGCTTCGCCACGGTCACTCTGGTTGTCGCGGATTTCCCTTGTCATTCCGAGCACGCATGATGCGCGATCGCCGCTGGCAGTCAGGTCATCAATGTCAGCAAGAACCTGTTCGTAAGCAATGGCAGGAACGATCTGGGGGCGGACGACAATGTAGTCAAGCCGATGGTGCCCATGGTTCTCGACAAACGTGAACCCCCCCTGTTATAGGGCCGCGCCCATGACACGTCTTCGAAAGTAGATGGCGCGACGAGGTTCACTTCGCACAAGAACCGATGCAGACAAGTACCTGGAACATTCTCGGTTTCGGCCCAGCCCCCCGAGCCTACCGATCTAGATGTTACGCCCTCCAATCTAGCATTGGCATCAGCAGCAATTATGTATACTCCCGTCCTATGTGCGATAGCAGTGGTCTCATCCCACCATACTGCGCCAGCGTCGATGGTCTGACTCTGGGCATCCCGACACGGTGCACGCAGCACCGCGAAGTTGAAATGCAGGCCCGGCGCTCGGACTCGCACTACAATATTGCGCAAGCCGGCGTGCGCCAGCAAAAAATGGCTCCTCTGGAAGTATACGTTTTTTTTCTTTTGTGAGTCATGCAGGGTATCACCGTAGAAAGACACGCCTCCACTCCGAAAGTATTCCCGTCACCTCCCGAGGCCACGATGAAGTACCCGCCAGCATTCCTCGACCCCGCCGGGGCCCTAGCTTCTTGGACCCCGACCACCAGAGCCCCCGTGATCAGTGAGCTGCTCTCTGACAATATTCGCACAGTGTCTCCTCTTGGCTCTCCTCGGGTTTTCGGCCATGGACATAGCATTGGAAGAGGCCACGATCAGGGGCACATCCCCAGCCAGAGTCGAAGGAGGCTCGGAGCCACCAGCAAGGGCATCCGCTGGGAGGACACCTTCAGGCCCGGAGGCATGTCGGGTCCCAACGGGGGTGACGAAATTGGCATGGCCCTCTTCGCAAACGACAGAGGAGCACGCATGGCGGTCATCATCAGCATGTCCATCCCAAGCCCAGACATCGCCTACCGCAGGGATCAAGCGACCGGCCCAGTCTGGGTCGTGCAGGTACGTTGAAACACGCCCACCCTTCGGGAGACCGTCAACCAACTCATTCCATTGGTGAGCTCGGTGGGATGGCACACGCCTGAGATTGAGACCACGTTTGGCCCGCAACTCCTGAGCTAGAACTCGCAGATGGGTGCCGGGCTCGGGGTGGGCCTTTGACATCGCTGTGCCCTCGGTAATCTGAATGGCGGAGGCCGAATTAGACTCGATGGCGAAACTCAAGGCGACGCCTTGCCGCTGGAAACCTGTCCAGAGCAGGGCCCACAAACTGGCACCCATCTCTGGAGAGGCGCTGCTGAACTTGTTCGTGCCAAGAGGACCCCCACGGATGTTAACAACTTCCCTGTTTGAACACCCAAGAGAGAGAAGGCTCCTGTCACGCCCTTGGCAATGACGGCCATCGCCCAGGCCGCAGTGCTCGGGTTCTCTATATCGAAGGACCCTTCAGCAAAAACCGTCACGTGGCCGTGCACAAACTGGCAAACTGGGCACATGTCGAGTCCTAGCTCGGCATGCGGGTGGAGGTCTGTCTGGTCGACCTCCGCGTTCAGGACAACCTGGCAGGCGCCCTTGCTAAGGCGCGTGGGTAAGCTCCCCTATTCCCCAAGCTCACAGGTTATGTTGGCTGTGGGTTCGTCATCCGCGATGGGCGCGACAATAGGGATCCTGGAATCGAGGTCGAGAACGACCGGACCTCGATCGCGGTCAAAACTGCCCTTGGAGTCAGAACTCAGCAAGCCGCAACCCTCATCGAGAGAAGGGGTCAAGCGGAGGCGAGTGGAGGGGCGCAACAAAATGGATGGGGACTGTCGCGCAGAATGCGGCTCCCGGCTTTGGCCCGTCGCCAGAGCTGGCGCTGGCAAGGACTGGCGGCGGGGGCTCGGTAGAGTCTATAGACAGACATGGAAGCGCCTGCCCACCCTCATCAGGCGCAGCGTCGCGTCCCGGCCCCTCACCGTTTTCCGCTCGCCGCAGGGGTCCTGCACGGCGTCCCCGGCGTCCTCGCCGCCGGGGGCCGCTGCCTCGCCCGCCCGGCCGCTGCTGGCACCTCTCCTCTCTGGTCGGCCACTGCCTTCACCATGCTGGGGCGGCTGATGCTGAACGGCACCATGGCTCGATCGCTGCTCTTCGTTTTGGTTTCGTCGTTCGTCGGCCCCCTCTGCGAGGTTGGCGTTCTGACCCGACGATGTGGCCTCGCACTTGGGCTCCTCGATGTCGTCGGTCTCCTCCTGGGTTCCGACCTTGCCCCCAGTGCCCCAGTGAGTATGATCCGTCCGAACTGATCTCGAATCTGGACGACCTCCTCTTGTATCGTGGGATCTCTCCTTGGGCTTGACCGTGGTGCTGCACTCTGTTGAGCTTGGGACCTCGGCACGGGCTCGAACGACTCTGTCGGAGTCAACACCACATCTGGAGATCACGCTGCAATCGTAGTAGGGCATGGCGAAGTTGGCGCCGTGGTAGCAGTCTGAGGTATGCGCTGCATCATGAACTGCTGGACAATGTGCATCTGCTGCATCATCTGTTGCATCTGCTGGGCCACTGGTTGGATGGGGCACGCTATCTGCTTGTGAACTTCCCGCTGCGGTTTTGAAGGCGCATGGGGTGTCGATTCCTCCTGCACAGCGCGCTTCGTCTCGATCTGCATCCGCAGGTCCTGCTCGTGGGTTCTGTATTATTGAATCGCTTCGCTCATTCCGCCGGCCCGTGATATGGCATCGCTGGTTTTTGTCTGTGTGTTCGTTGCCCATGTTGCGCTCTTGGGGGCGGGTGTCGTTCGGACGCGTTGCGTGGGGAGTTTTGGTGGTGAAGCAGTTCCCTGGGGGTCGTCTCTCGATGGGGCGAAATAGAGTCGTCGTCAAGATGCTTCTTTGGGGGGCCTCTTGGGGTCCTGTTGAGAGGCCGTTCGGGGGCGCCTGGGAGACATGTTTGAAGCCTTCTGGGGCTTCTTTTGGGCCTCCTGGGAGTCTCCTGGGGCCTCTTGGCGACATCTTGGGGCCTCTTGGAGGCCTCTTGGGGCCTCTTTGGGACCTCCTGGGCGCCTTCTGGGACGGAGGGCTCCATTTTTGAGTTCTCGGTATCCCTCCTGAGTCCCTCTTGGGCCCGTCTTGGGGCCTCTTGGTCCGTCTTGGGCGGCACTTGGGCCGTCTTGAGGGCTCTCTTGGGTCGTTTCGGCGCCGTCTTGGGAGCTTCGTGGGCCGTCTTGGAGCGGTCTTGGGGGCCTCTTGGGCCGTCTTGGAGCGTCCGGAAGCCGAAAAAGCCAGAACACAAAAAACATCGAAAAAACTAATGAAAATCAACGATTTTGGCCTCTTGGGGCTCTCTTCGGAGGCCTCTTGGAAGGCTCTTGGGGCGTCTTGGAGGCCTCTTGGGCTGTCTTGGGGGCCTTTTGGGCCGTCTTGGGGTCATCTTCGGCGTCTTCGAGCGCTCTTTGGGCGTCTCGGGGGCCTCTTGGGCAGTCTTGGGGGCCTCTTGGGGCACTCTGAGCGCGCTCTGGGGAGCCTGAGAGGCCGCACCCAGAAGGAAAACCATCTCTGAGTAGACTTGGTCGGGCGGCGGTCGGGCGGCGGTCGGGCGGCGACCGGGCGTTGGTCGGGGTACTTTTCGCCGGGGGACCCCCAGGGGCCGCCCCGCGCGCGCGAACTAGAAATACTGTTAATACTGTTAACCAGTTACCGGAGATCTTAGCACGCCCTGGCCCGTTGGGCCGGCGAATTATTCTTGTTCTTCTTGAATCATGGCGTGGATCTCGTTCTTGGTGCGCCGCAGTACCTCTAATTGATCCTGGAGATTGTCTCTCATTGATACTTTTCTGTCCAAGATACCCTGCTGGATCTCCACTGCTTTGTTGCCGGCGTCTACTCGTAGCATCATCCTCTCAATGGTAGTCTCTGTCCACGCACCCTGCTGCTCCAATGATTTCTCTGGGATCAACATTCTGCGTAGAACTGCAATCTGATCGACGATGTCCTGGACTGGTTCCTTCATGGCCCAGGCGATATTGCACCTCTGCTGGGGCAGATTGAGCTTGGACCTTGTCTCTCTGTAGTATGTTTTCGTCTCGCTCTCGTCGGCCTTGGGGGACAGCGGCTTGCAATTGGGATTGGCCTGCGCCTCCGCTGGAATAGCCATCCTGACGAAGGGCGGCCCCTTTATCTCCTCCTCCACGTCGTCCCCCCAGGGCCTCGAATCGATGCTCTTCTGGCTGTTGGACCTCTGGCGTCGTCTGTCTGGCTTGCCGTTCGACTCCTGTCCAGATGAGGCCTTCCAATTCATATTGCACTTGCTGCAATGTGTGACCTTCAGCCAGTTCTGCTGCCCGCACATGCATGTCCAAGTCGCTGCCCACTGCGCCATCTGAAGAGGCGTCTCTGAATCTGAGAGCCCGGGCTGGGAAATGACTTGGAATTTGGGGCGAAAGGATGTGGAGGGCAAGACAGATCTTTGCCCCCGCTCGGAACGTCGTGGCTGCCGAAGGGGTCGCTTGTCGACCAGGCGCGGGGACTTGGTCCTGCCCCTCGGCTGCGGGCAAGTTCAAGCACTTTGAGCCAAAATGGCTACGGTCCTCCGCCTCCTCCCCCCCCTCCCCCTCCTCCTCCTCCCCCCCCTCCTCCTCCTCCTCCTCCTTTAGCCGCCGCCACGGCTGAAGGGCGAGGGACACGCGGCCCTCCCACCCCGTTCCATCGCCCGCCAGGGGAGCAGCGCGCGATGCCCACGCGCCCGCGGGGCCCAAGAGGCCCATGATGGCGGCTCTCCTCCTGCTGGCGGCCGTCGGCTTCCCGCCGCAGGCGGCCGCCTTCATGTCGACAGGCGCTTTCCGCGCCCCTGGACGCACTCAGGAGCGAGAGCCTCAACCTGTTCAGCACACCAGGCTCTGCACGCACAACCCCATGTACCTGACGGGCTGCACCCGCGCGCAGGAGATCTCGCGCGAGCTCAACAACATGGGCGTGATCCTTCTCCCTGGGACTAGCCGCCGCCAGGCACAGGACAGCCGCCACAGCCTCTTCAAGCATGACTACCACTGGGAGCTCTCCTTCGGCTGGACTCGGGCCACCAACAAGAGCTGCGGGGTCAGCATCTTCCTACATCACAAACGGTTCCCGCAGGCACACCTACGTCGGATTTACCCTCCGCCTGCGGCGCTTGCGGGCCGATGCGGCGCTCTGCGCTTGAAGAGCCGCTCCTCGGACGTGCTCCTCATGGTTCTGTACTTTCCCGTGCCGTCCGAGTCCCGCTCCAGCCGCAACTCATACCGCCAGGTGACCCAGGCGATGATTTCATGGGCACGCACCACGCTGGAGTCGGTGGGCAGTCGCTGCACGCCTTTCATCGGGGCGGACCTCAACGACAAGCTCGGCTACTCCGTGGACGAGACGTTTCTCGGCTCCCCGACCCCGCGCTTGCTCGAGCCCGACTCGTGGAGCGAGATCGACTGCGCCGTGGGCCCCTTCCAGGAGCAGGAGGGCCTCGCAGGACGTCTCTGGCACCAGTTCCTCACGGACCACGGCATGGCCGCGCTGAACACCTTCTTTGACAGCGGGGACACCTTTTTCGGGGCACACGGGCGGTCTAGCAGGATCGACTTCCTCCACTCCCCATCCGCCCTGGTGTCTCACACACGCCAGTGCAAGGTCCTGATGGGGGCAGGCCGCCGCCTCCAGCCCATCAACACAGCGGACGATCGAGACCACCGCCCTGTCTATGCGGACGTATTCTATACCTTCGAGGCCCACGCGCAGCCCAAGCACACCTGGGACTACGACACGATCATGCTTCGTCTTCGCGGACAGCACACCACCGCCGCGGACCTCGAGACCATCGACCAAGCAGTGTTGGACATCGACGAACCGACCTGGCAGTACCTCTGCACCAGACCGACGACGGACGAGCTGTGGAACTCCGTTGCCTCGCTGATGGTCGACTGCGCGAAGGAGATCTTCACCCGACCGAATCCCGCACAGGCCGAGAAGACCGTCCTCGAACGGCAACGTTCCGAGGCTCTTCGCACTCGACGCGACCTCCGCGCTCGCTTCACTGGCTCCGACCCCTCGCACAACACGGAACTCATCGAGATGGAGCTCCTCTTGGCGCGCCTGACCTACCGCATCCGCGCCCTGTCCGACCGCATCACCACCGAGCGGAACGCCAGCCTCACGGAGGAGCTCAACCAAGCATGGACACAGCACGACCACTACAACGTCCAGCGCCTCATCCGACGCTTATCTCGTCGCGGCCGTGGCCCGCGCCACAGACGCCACTTCACCGCGAGGGACGAGAACTGCGACCCCGCCGACATCCAGTCCTACCTGCAGCGGCCCGCCTCCCTCGGCGGCCTGGGCGCCAACGTCTGCGACCTCCAGGACGAGCTCACCCACCGCTTCGACGCCCCCCATTCGGGGGAGGAGGCGCACCGCACCGACCAGATGCGATACGACGCGACGCAGATGGCGAGCCTCGAGATGGCGAACTACGACCTGCTGGGGATCATACGTGAGCTGCGCAGGGCCCCGAAGCGCAGGGCCTCGCCCGCGTGGTCCATGCCCTCGGAGCTCTGGCTTCTGCTTCTCGACCCCGCACAATGGGAACAGCATCGGCTGGGCGGAGTGGGGCACGTCGAGCATCCCACGACGTTCCTCGCCTTCCAGGAGAGGTTCGTCGACATCCTCGCCAGCTTCAGGCGCTCGGACTCCACCCCGCTGATTTTCGACGTTTCATCCTGCGCGGGCCTGGACAAGCGCAACGGCAAGTCTGGGCCCGCGAGCATGCGGTGGATTCACCTCTTCTGTCCGATTGGGAAGTGCTGGCGTGCTCACCTGTGGCAGCGGAACACATCCGAGCGGGAGGTACTACCATATTACTGCCACGGCTTCGCCCGCAGGCGGCGGCGCGAGGGCGCCATCGCGGTACAGTCCTGTCTCTCCTGGCGCCTCGGTCAACTCCAGATCCCACACATGATAGTGAATGAGGACGCCACCAACGCCTTTGCGAGCACAGATCGCAACGTGATCTACGACACACTCGGCTCGCTCTACCGCGCCGAGGATCTTTCTTTCCAGCGCAATAGGACCACCTACAGCGCCTGCCAGATCGACACTATGGGGGGCCCCCTCGCCTTGCGCCCGACCTCAGGAGAGCTCATGGGTCACCCGAATCCCGCCCGCGCCTTCCCCTACTACTACCTCGAGGGCATCACCCCGTTTCTGGCACGTCGGGCCCATACGAGACCCCAGGTCCTGACGGAGGCTCACGAGATAGACGAGACGACCACGGACGTGGGCATTACGATCTACGCCGACGACATCACGATGACGGTGATCCCCGACGAGATTCCTGCGGGCACCCCCCCGGGCTCCGCGGCTTCAGCCTTCTTGGGCCAGGTCGCCGACCACAGTAACCACCTCTCGGAGACCCTCGGGACCATCGGGGTGCACCTCAACCTCGACAAGCGGGCCTCGGTGGCTCGGATCTCGGGACCTCGCAGTAACACTTTGACGCGCCTCCTCTATGGCGGCTCCTGGCAGTACCGCGGCGTCTTGGGGCGGCACCTTCGGATTCTTGGAGGCTGGCTTACTTCTACGGGCTCTCTACAGGTTGAAAAGGCGAAGCGTCTCCAGGCAGGACGCTCGGGTCCAGGAATGATCTCGAACTTTCTGGTCCATGATGCAGCCCACGGCGTCAAAAGAATGGCCGTGATCTCTTTCGCGCAGGGCGCCCTTCTGTCAGGCATGGAGGGTCGGATCCCAGACATGAGCTTTGCCGCTGCTTCGGACGCGTTAGTACTTCGCGCGCTCCGCCGCGCACTCGGTCGACGGGGCCTGGAACCTCAGGCTGACGGCGAACTACATCGCTGGCCTGCCCGTCGGCTCTGGCAGCATTGGCGCCTTCTTCCTACCCTTGAGGAGTTACGAGTTCGCAGACTAAAATGGTATCAGTCTTGGTGCCGCCACCCCTCAGACCATCGGCAGGTTCGAGCGTGCATCCTGGGGAGCATCGGGGACGGGGACTCCATGAAATCCGACTACACCCTTCACCCCGACGCTGATCCATGGGCAAAGCAGGTCCTATCGGACCTCGAGTTTGCGCACCGCCACTCGGAAGAGTTCCAGGATCACGTTCCAGAAGACGTCCCCCTATTACAGCTATTCTACTGCTCCGACTACAAAAACTGGGCCTACATTGACTTCACCATCTTGGGATCAAAAACGTTCAGCCACCAGTTCGCCCCGCCTGGCCTCCAAAGGGACCCCAACGACGACGAGCTCTCACGAGGAGAAGACGAAGGCAGGCTGCGGCCCTACAGATGCAAGATGACGGACGACGACGGGAACCTCTGCGGGGACACCTTCGGCTCCATTAAGGCCCTCCTCCTGCATGCCAACAGGTCCACAGGGTGCGGAACGGGGCCTCCCTCCTCACGGTGACGAACCAGTGTTACAGATGCCCCCAGGTCCTCAGTACGAGAGAAAACGCACAGCGCCACGTCATGCGCAGCTACGTTCGTAATATTTGCACCCGAGGCCGAAGCAGTTTCCTTTCGCATGAAGTCCAGACGCCCGACATCTTACAGTGCCCCGTATGCAGCCATTATGCCCGAGACCTTCTTGCTCTTCAGGTCCATATTCGCGGCCACTGTTCTCTTCCTGAGCCGCGGGTTCGTCTACAGGGCGCCCTGCGACACGATGGCTTCCTCGGCGTTGGCACCCCCCGCCCAGCAAGAAATGGACCTCTCCGCGCTGCTCAAGCGGCACAAGCCCTCGGACGGCTCCGCCACCGAGAAGGTCGAGCCCAAGGACAAGCGCCAGCGCGGGCCCGCGATCGCCTCCATGGCCGACGCCTCGGAGGATGCCCTGATGGCGGTGGAGGGCGTCCTGAAGTCGCGCGACCTGCAGCAGGCGGTCACGATCCTCCTCAAGATGGCGTGCCAGCACGCCCAGCAGCTCAGGGACCTCGCCGCCTCGGAATGGATCAGCATCGTGCTCCCGTCCACGGCCACTTCGATCGTCGCAGCTCGGGAGGCGGGCAAGCTGCACTCAGAGGCGGCGCAGATTCCCGAGGCGAAGCCCCTGCTCAACTCACCACATTTGTACATCGCTCACGCCGTGTTCAAGTGCCTGTCGGCCTCCGAGGAGGTGAAGCAGAAGGCCCCGCAGGGGCACGCGCTCCTGTGCACATTCTACCAGCAGTTCGTTTGCAAGGTGACGGGCTCGGAGCTGTGCCTGATGGTGCGCCACTTCAGGCTGCGCAAATGCTACAACGACCAGTACACCAGGGTGCAGTTCGCGCTCGCGGACCAGATCACGCTGAAGTACGACAACCCAGACGGCCCTCGGGAGACTACGGCATCCAAGCTCGAGCTCGAACAGAGCCTCGTGAAATGCTTCGAGGCGGAGGGCGGACGTCAGAAGATGGGGACGGCACCTCAGGGCCACCTGGAGTCGATGGCCCAGAAGCTGCTCGACAAGAACCGACAGACCCACCACGGCCAGAAGGGCAAGGGCGGCCGCAAGGGCTGACGTGGGAAACCCGTCTTCATCAGTTGCGGCAACGGATCCTACTGAAAGAGAGGGGCACCCCTCGCACTACGTGACGACGTGAGTTCCTCCAGCAGCTTCGCTGTAGCACCATGCCCCTCTAGCCTCCCACGCCGCCCCTGGTCTCTTGGGCGCGCCGTCGGATAATGTTTTGTTTCGGCCTGGTTTTCGTTTTCCTCCTCGGGGCCTCTGGGTGTCCAGGGAGCCTGCTCGGTGCTCGCAGCGCCGTCGAGCTCGGCCCCCAGGGGCCAGAGGGGTATCACCCCCCGCCCGCGGGCGTCTCTTCGTTTCCCGTCCTGCTCGGCTCGGATCACAGGTTGCTCACGGCTGCACGGCGCGCCCACACGCCTGACCTCGTTCGGTCCGAGGAGAGCGCACGATAGCTCAGAGGTGTCCCCGAGTGCTCTCTCGTTTCGTGAGCTCGTGGGGGTGCGTGTCACCAGACTCACAGCGCAATGCCGAGTCCATCCATCCATCCATCCTCCTCCTTTTCCTCCTCATTCTCCCTCCCTTCCTCCTCCATTTGCTGCTTATGAATAAATTTTCCCTATCGCACCCCACGACCAGTTTTTAGTGCAAGCCGGGTGATTCGCTCGAGACTTCCGCACCATGTATAACCTTAAAGCTTAGAAATTGGCAACAGCTTCACAGATGGAGGGCGTGTCGTTTTCAAAATGTGGTTCTCGCCTTAGCGTTGCGCACATTCGTGTTTTTTGTTTGCACGAGCTTCATGGATTGAGGGCGAGTCGTTTTCAAAATGTGGTTCTCGCCGTAGCGCCGCGCACATCCGTTCCTGCTACTATAAAATATGATAGTGGCAAGAGCTTCACGGAGTGAGGGGGAATGAGGGCGGCTCTTTTTCAATATGTGGTTCTCGCTTGAGCGCCGCGCACATTCATTATGTAAGAGTTTCACAGGTTGTCATGGTCAACGTACCAGAAATGGCGTTTTGGAAGGTTTCAGGATTACGAGGGCGCGACAGTTACGTTGATTCGGGATGTTGACGTCCCAGGAATGGCGCTTTGGCACGATTGAGGATCGTCAACACGCAACAGCCAGGTTGATCCGTAGCGTTGGAATCCCGAGAACAGTGCATTGGCATGTTTCAGGGTATTCGAACGGTTGTCTTCCATCGAGGCAGCTCCGCCCGTTGAAATGAGCCGCTGTAGGGGCCCATGAAGAGGGAGCTTGGAGGGAGGGTTTATTCCAACATCGTTGATGACCCTTGGGTTTACACTGGTCCTCCTGATCATCATGATCCTCCTCCTCGTCCTCCTTCTCCTCCTCCTCCTCCTCAACCTGTTCCTCCTCCCGCTCCTTATCATCATCAGCAGCAGCATCCCCTCCTCCACCTCCTCCGCCTCCTTCTCCTCCTCATCCTCCTCCTCATCCTCCTCCTCCTCCTCATCATCATCCTCCTCCTCCTCCTCCTCCTCCTCCTCCTCATCCTCCTCCTCATCCTCCTCCCTCATCCTCCTCCTCCTCCTCCTCCTCCTCCTCCTCCTCCTCCTCCCTCCTCTCCTCCCTCCTCCTCCTCCCTCCTCCTCCTCCTCCTCCTCCTCTTCCTCCCCCTTCCCCTCCCCTCCTCCTCCGCTAATCGTCCTCCTTCTCCTCCTCCTCCGCCTCCTCCTCATCCTCCTCCTCCTCCTCCTCCTATCTCCTCCTCCCTCCTCCTCCTTCCTCCTCCTCCTCCTTAAATCCTCCTCCTCTAATCCTCCTGCTCTAATCTCCTCCTCTCATCCCTCCTCCTCCTTCTCCTCCTCCTCCTCCTCATCATCCTCCTCCGCCTCCTCCTCCTCCTCCTTCCTCTCCTCCTCCTCCTCCTCCTCCTCCTCATCATCATCATCCTCATCATCCTCCTCCTCCCCCTCCTCTAATCCTGCTTCTCCTCCTCCTCCTCCTCCTCCTTCTTCTCCTCCTCCTCCTCCTCCTCCTCCTCCTCCTCCTCCTCCGCCTCCTCCTCATCCTCCTCCGCCTCCTCCCCCTCCTCCTCCTCCTGATCCTCCTCCTCCTCTTCCGTCTCCTCCTTCTCCTCCTCCACCTCTTCCTCCTCTCCTTCTTCCTCCTCCGCATCCTCTCCTCCTCCTCCGCCTCCTCCTTCTCCTCTTCCTCCTCTAATCCTCCTCCTCTAATCCTCCTGCTCTAATCCTCCTCCTCCTCCTCCTCCTCCTCCTCCTCCTCCTCCTCCTCCTTCCTCCTCCTCTTCCTCCTCCTCCTCCTCCTCCTCCTCCTCCTCCTCCTCCTCCTCCTCCTCCTCCTCCTCCTCCTCCTCCTCCTCCTCCTCCTCCCTCCTCCTCCTCCTCCTCCTCCTCCTCCTCCTCCTCCTCCTCCTCCTCCTCCTCCTCCTCCTCCCCCTCATCTAATCCTCGACGCAGTCCGAGAGCGCAACATGCCCTGTCACGCCCGACCAACGGGGGGAGGGGGGGGCAAACACCTCCCCCCACGACTCCCTAGGGCTAGGAGCCGTGCCGCCGACGGGGCCCGAGGGGGGGGGAGGAGAAGAGGAAGAAAGAGAAGGAAAAAGAGAAGAAGCGCCCGCCTCACCAGCTGCCCGAACAACAGCACCAACCCACCGAAGGTGGGCGGCCCCCATGCCTCCTGGCTCTCCCAGCACCAGGGACACTGGACATCCCCAACGGGTCACCGCGCGGGGCACGCGGTGCGGGAAGACGTATGGATGCCCAGGCCCGCCCCCACAGGCCCTTTTGCCCAAGGGGGGCCAGGCGGTACACGCATCTGAGCCGTGCCCAACAGGCCGACCCCCCCAGCCACACCAGACACCGCAGCGTGACGGGCTGGCAACAACAGTGGCTGGGGCCTGCCCCCGCCAGTGACAGGTACCACCTATAGGGGGTTACCCACACGGCCCCAGGACACCAGGTCCCCGACGGACCTCAGACGGCAGACCCTTTCCACAGGGGGACCACCCCCAGAAAGAGGGGGTACCGCCCCAGGCCCGCCAGGGCACCGACGCCCCAGAACCGCGGCGCCGCAAGCGACGACCAGGCGGAATTCAGTTCACCCCAGGAGCCCCGAAGCGCCGCCCACGCATCGAGGTGCCCCCCTCCTCTAATCCTCCTCCTCCTCCTCCTCCTCCTCTAAATCCTCCTCCTCCTCCTCCTCCTCCTCCTCCTTCTCCTCCTCCTCTCCTCCTCCTCCGCCTCCTCCTTCTCCTCGTCCTCCTCCTCCGCTCCCTCTCCTCCTCTTCCTCCTCCTCCTCCTCTTCCTCCTCCTCCTCCTCCTCCGCCTCCTCCTCCTCCTCCTCCTTCTCCTCCTCCTCCTCCTCCTCCTCCCTTGGCCCCTTCGCTTCGCACGACGGAAGGTTTTCGAATGTGGTGTCGGCCCTCGCGGGGCCCCGAGACCGTCATGAAACGCCTCAGGGGGCCGGGGAGGATCGTCGACTACAAACCCAGCCCCCCTCGGGCCATGAAAAAAAATCGGCGCGAGGAGGGTTGTCGCTCTCTTCGGCCTGGGGGGGCCCTTACCAGGCCTCGGGGCCGTCAAATGACAGCTCTCGATTCAAGGGAGGCGAAACCACCCCTACCCCGACAGTTGGCGTTTACTAAACGGCTATGGGCGTTTATTGAGCAGCCTTGTCCTGCTCGATTCACTCCTTGGGTGCGCTTACTCAACGGCTTCGCTTGTCGGGGTGCTTCTCATGAGGGTGGATCTTCTGCTCTTGAAGGATAAAAAGCCGGTCCCAGGGAATGGGTCGAGAGCTTTGGGGGGTCCACGCTGCGATGAGACACGATGCCCCGGGGCTTGGGCGAGGTGCAGCGGGTTCCGCTCAAGCCGTCCATGTTCTACGACGGGCGTGAGTACGAGGGCGACGAGTGCGACTGGGACGACCTCGGCTCCAGGTTTGGCCACACGCCGCTGGGCGGCAGCGGGCTCTCCGTCGGCTTCGCCGCCCGCTGGCGCAGCCTCAAGAGGTGGAGCCGCATCATCGACTTCGGGAACGGACCGGGCACCGAGAACATCGTGGTGGCCAACAAGGGCACGTCCACAACCCTCGTGTTCAACGTGTGGGACGGGCGCCAGGAGCACGGTCTGCAGGTCCCGGACGCGATAGAGGTGGGCAGGCTCGGGTCTCACGCAACGGGGGTCAGCGCTGAGGGAGGTCAGACAGTCCCCTCCGGCTGACCCGGGTTTGGGAGCCACGTGGGGCCGACTCCCCGTGTCCGCCCTCCGCTGGCCTGGGCTCGGGAGCCACTCCGCGGCCAGCCTGGCTGCGCGACTGGGCCTGGGCCCACCCGGGCTTGCGATGCCACAGAACGGTGCGTCCCCGACCCCAAAGCCCCGACGACATGATTCTTCCATGACGTGGACCCCGAGCTGTCTGGGCCCAATCCCTCGGCCCGGCTTTTCATCCTCAGCCGTGATGTGACGGCCCCGAGGGCCGGTAAGGGTCTTCACGGGCCAAAAATAACGGAAAGTGTCCCGTCATATTTTTCATGGCCCGAGGTGGTTTGGGACAGTCCAGGCCCCCTAGATGGGGTCGGAGTAGATGGGGTCGGAGGATCGCGCCGCATCGGCGATGCATCGGCGATGCGGCTCGATGTGGAGCCCGATGTGTTCCACGCCGACGTCGCCGACGCATGGCAAATGCGTCGCCGATGCATCGCCGATGCAGTGGCGATGCGGCGCGATCCCTCGACCCCATTAACTCGGAATCCATCTACGAGGAGGAGGAGGAGGAGGAGGAGGAGGAGGAGGAAGAGGAGGAGGAGGTGTAGTGAGGAGGAGGAGGAGGAGGAGGAGGAGGAGGAGGAAGGAGGAGGAGGAGGAGGGGAGGAGGATGAGGAGGAGGAGGAGAGGA